CCCTTCCGCCCGGCCGTCATGAAAATCCCTTTCGGTTCAAAGTGGGTTGAAAGAGATTCGTCTTTATATATTTTGTATTGGGCGACTAGGAATTTGGACGAAACGACTAATTTCCTTTTTTATTGAGTGCTGTTTAGTTTCCCTTCAACAATGACTGCAGTCAGCATATGAGCACAAATCTCAACATGGGCGCGATAAGACTAGAGGTTGCACGCGATACGAATAGACACGTCCGAAAGGCGCTTCCACCGTCACTGACGGGATTTCCAGGCGAGGCAGAGATTAGATATTATGTGAAGGCGACGGTTGGGCGGCCACAATTTTACAAGGAGAACTATAGAGGGGTATGTATTATCTGGGATATATAGTTCGCGTCCTCAGGCGTTCGCTGCGATGCCAACTAGGTTACGAGGCTGATAGAGACTCGATATAGTTCGCGGACTTTAAATTTCTGCCAATCGAACCTCCCAAGGCAACAGAATCCGGTGCGGAGTCGTACGCTAGACGTCAGCAACAATTTTCAAAAGCAGGCAACATACAGAGAAAGAAGGGCCTTTTCGGAAAATCTAGTCCACCGGCTTTGATCGATCTCGAGGATGAACCCCCCAGATTTTCAGTCGATGCCAGATTACCTAGTCCTCCAATCATCACTTGCAACGAACCACTTCCCTTACGAATACTAGTAAAAAAACTCAACGAGAGCCCAGACACGATCTTCTTGCAGATGCTGCAGGTCGAATTAATCGCATATACGCACATCCGGGCCCACGATCTTGCTCGATCTGAAAGCGGGAGCTGGGTTATTGTTAGTCACAGTAATATGAACATGCCACTTGGGGATGGGAGTGCCCCCGCTGGGAAAGAGTGGAAAATAGATTCCAGCATGTGGGATCGTATCCCATTACCCACCTCTGTGGCACCGTCCTTCGATACCTGCAATATATCACGGACGTACGATTTGGATATACGAGTCGGGTTAACACATGGATCTTCCGGTGTGATGAAGGTGCGTTAGTCACAGTTTCCAGATATGCATTCTAATGCCCCTCGAGATCTTCATGCTGCTCGATCGGTGGTTCACTTGAAATTTCATATTTGAGCACCTGATAACCTTAAATGAATATTCCTTATTCTAGCCCGAGCTCATCGTCCTTCCACTCCGGATGGCCGTTCAAGTCTACTCTGGAATAGCCCCTCCCCAAGCTCTCTTAGATGCCATCCGGCGGACACCTAGTAAGGCTAGCAAGGCATCTGATGATCCGCCTCCCAAGCCTCCTCGGCCCGAAGTTGCCCCGACAGTTCCCCCTGTGCAGGACGAGTACGACGATGCTCCTCCAAGTTATGAAGACGCCATGGCAGATGCTCTTGGGCCAGTGGACGGCCCGCGGCGCGAGTATAACCCCCCAGAGCCAGGATCATGGGCAGGGGCTGATAATAAGGGTTCAGCGAAAAATCATAAAGACGACGAGCGGCTCTTCCCCAATAGCGACCCGCGGAATGCATCAACGGAGTCTTTCTTCGATAGCTATCATGCGAATGCGACTTCTCTGGATGGACATGGTGCTAGCCGGCTGGCGCAATCGACATCAGCTGGGCAAGTTCAACAAACACAAGTTGTCTGGGAAACTCCATACCCGGCGCAACAACTATTGCAGCTACCGAAGTCACCACAGTCACCACAGTCACCACAGTCACCACATTCACCACATTCACCACAGTCACCACAGTCACCACAAGCACCACAGTCGCCACAAACACCACAAG